GCACCTAGCTCAACCATCCCAAATCCCTGGTGGAAACCAGGCAGCAAAGGAAGAGGAAAAGGAGTCAGCAAAAGCCTCCCAAGACCCTGGTGCCAACCAGGCCCCAACTGCAGAACAGCAGGACCTGGAGGGTCCAGAGGAGGAAAGCCCTAGAGCTCCGGTGCAGACCCCGGAGAGCAGTGGCTCAACCATGGAGAGAGGAAGAGTCAGAGCTCCCACCTGGACCGGCGGTCAACAACCCAGAGCCGGACTACACCAACACCATGACCTTCACGATCCAAATGAAGAAGGACATGAAGCCGTACCATAGTCGGTACAAGGAGCAGGTGCAAGTGGAGTACACCAGCTCTGACACACCAGACGTAACCAGGCTCAGCCTGGTGGTGGTAGGACTGGGAGGGTCACGTGTAGTAACCTACACGCCGCACAAGGCAGGGGTTGTGTGGAAAATCTCAACCTACCCACAAGACCAGGAAGTCCTGGTGTGCAGAGCCACAGGGGCGGTGACTCCGGGACTTGCCAGGCATGCTGGTGTACACAAGATGTGGGAGCAGGGCCCTGGTGCTAACCAGGAGATCTTATGGGTCACCCTCATAGAGATGGAGGCTGTGACCCCAATGCCCGCGCAGCTCAACCGCATCCAAGTCATGCAAGCCATGTTCACGGTGGCCCTTTTAGCCAAGATACTCTTGGTGAAAGACATAGGGCGGGCCAACATGGGCCTTCGCTTTTTGCGCCCAGACCCGGACGAGGTGCCGGATCTGGTGGTGGTGGACGTGCTGGGGTGGGAACCCTATCCCCCTGGGGCTCGGCCCCAGTGGCCAAACGTCCAAAGACTGTCGGGCTTCTGGAAGACCATAGCTGCGCACGACTCCGAGATGAAGGCCGAGCTCAAAGGACTGGTGCAGGAGTACCATACCAGTCTTGAGAGTCTGACGTACGCTTTGAAGGTGTGCGCAAAGGCCACGCTCCCGCGTGAGGACTACGAGAGCCTCATGCACGTGTTGGTCCAAGCAAACGTGCTGGCCATCACCCCGGAGGGGATCCTTGGACAACCTCTCCTCCCGGAAGGGTACCTCCACGACTTGGTACCAGGGAAAACCTGGTTGGTCCTTCCCTTCCCATAGGGAGCAAGGGCTCAGGCCAAAGCCTGGAAACCAAACTGGTGCTACCAGTACCAGCCAAATTGGTGGAAACCCAGAAGGCTGGTGCAAAGTAGTAACCAGCACAGCTGGTGTTCTGGGCCAAAGAGCCTTAGCTTAGGGCAAACCAGGACCAACAGCTCTGGTGCTACCAGTACCAGCCTGACTGGTGAAAACCTTAAAGACTGGTGAAAGTAGCAACCAGCTCAGCTGGTGTCCTGGGCCAAAGAGCCTAAGCTGTAGGCAAACCAGTTGCTGAAACGGCCACAGCACTGGTGTAAGTACAGTACGTTTCGCCCAAACTTGCCGGCTAAAAGCTGGCTGCGACTCGCTTCGCCAAAGACGAGAAAAAACAGTTATCCTCTACCAAGTGGAAAGCCCTTGGTAGACTCGTCAGTAAGAGCGAGAACGCGAGTCGACTTGTACAGTGCTACTACTCGTCTGTAAGTACAGTTTCTTACGTTTCACCCAAACTTGCCGGCCAATGGCTAGGCTGCGACTCGCTTCGCCAAAGACGAGAAACAGTTATCCTCTGGCTCAAGACTCTGGCTCAAGACTTTCAGTGCCGTCGTGGCCTTTTAGCCTTGAGGCTCACTTTGCTAGAGCCCCTACCAGGCCCCAAACCGCAAACCTTCAAGGTCGTAGGCTGGCTGTCCAGCAAGGGTCGTGCGGGGTAGCGGTCTCTTTGCAACCAGTCTTTGGACTTGGTGCCCTTCTGCTGGTGTTACCAGCTTACTGGTGTAACCAGTAGGCTCTTTCGCCAGCTGCCGGGTACCTGGTGTTGCCAGGGTGTGGGCATCTCAGTGCCATGCCCAAGCACTACACGGCATGTGCCCAATGTGGAGTGGGCTGGGTGTGGAAATCGGAAAAGGCCTGGTACCCATGCTGTTGGCATTGTGGTGCTGCCTGGCCAGGACCTTACACACCACCGAGCCAGCCACAGAGGTCCCAGAGCCCCGCGCGCAACAGCCAGGAGGACTGGAACAAGTGGCAAGCCTGGGCTCGCCAGGAGATGCAGAAAGAGCAGAGCTGGTGGGAACCAGCATGGCAGCCAACGCGGAAGCCGAAGAAGCAGGTGGACTATCCGCCAGGACTGGGATGGACCGGTGCTCAGATGACTCCCCAGGAGTACGAGGATGCCGTTGCCGGTCTTTGGCAGGATGCAGATCCGCAAGCCCAGAAGGTCCTTTGTGCGTGTGGCATTGAGCCACCAGAGCAGGACAGGAGCGATGACCCAAGGGTCACGCTGCAGAAGTACCTTTCGGCGTACAAGGCGATCACCCAGGAGCATCGAAACCGGGTGGAGCACAAAGTAAGGCTGCAAGCGAGAGCTGACAAGATCAAAGGCCAATTCGAAAAAGCCCTCAAAGAATTGGCAGACGTTTCCAAGGCCATCGAGAAGGCGGAGGACAACCTGGGGAAGGTGCAGAACCAGGTGCAGGAGCAACTCAAGAATGCCGAGCCGCCAGAGGCCAAGGAAGTTCATGATCTCCAGGGCCTCTTGAAGGTGGCGGGGGTTGAGCTATCTGCCACGCAGGAAGGGGCCTTGTCGGCTTACTTGCAAACGAGGAAGTAAGAGAGGGAGCTGGACATGGACGAGGATGATGGTGAGGATCCACCGGGAAACCTTGGGTCTTTTGTTCCCTTGACCTCAAATTCCTTTAGCGCTAACTCTGGATCACCATGGACGGCACGGGAGTTTGGGCCCATGAAGCCCAGAAGGGTGCGTAGCAACCCACTTTCCCGCAATGATGGGGAAAAGGAGGAGGATTGAGGCCTGGGGCAGGGGGCCTTGCTAGGATGGTGGGTGCCACGGTGCCTTCCTGGTTGGGTTCCCCAATCAAGCCCTCTCTCTTTACCATGGCGAATTTTGCATCACAAGAGCCAGAGCCCCACGACCATTTTGGTTGAAGTGGGATCCTTTTTAACCAAGCAGAAGCTGGTGCCACCCAGCGAGGAGGTACGCCAGCAGCAGCAGTTTTGTGAGTTATGCTGTCAGCCCACAGACAGGCTGATGCAAACCAGCGAGGACTGGTGTGCTGCACTTTGGGTGGCGGAGAAACACATTCTTCAGCATGTGCAGCCCATGGTCTGTTCGCCAATTTTGGAAGCCTATGCAAAAAAGGCATACCACCTACGGCAGAAACCGTTTGGGTGGTGCTGCGAGTCATGCTCAACATGGGTGTGGCAACAGGCGGCAGCGATGTGGAACACAGGGGAAGGCAGTGGTGAGCCTATCCCTGGGGTTTGGCCACGAGTGGGAGAGGCGGTCCTCACGGTGGCCCGTTACTTCCCTGTGGATTTTGAGGATAATGGTGAATGGACGGAGTTTGTGGTTGAATCGACACCTGAACCCTCCCCACCTGGTGCAAACCAGGCTAGCCCAACACCTGTAAAAAGGCACCGGCAAGGTCCTCCCTTGGAGGGAGCCACGAACACTCAAGCCAACAAAGAACCACCTGGTGAACCGACCAGGAAAGACTGGAACCGGTTATCTGATCTCTTGGCAGAGGAGCCTCAGTTCTGCATGCAGGCAAAGGAGGCTGCTATCTTGGAGTGGGTTGAAAAGATCGAGCACAGTCTGATCCCGGGAACCTTGGCACACTGGGTGGTTTTCAGGATGGTGGAGTGTTTGGAAACGAGGGAAGAGGACACGATTGGGATTTTAGCAGGTATTGAGGACCTCAAGCTGCAAGCCGAACACAAGCCCAACAGAGGCGTGTGCACCATCTTGCAGGCCAATGTCACTCAGTACAGATCAGAGATCCGACAATGGCTGGTGTCAAACCAGTGTCACGTTGCGTGTCTTCAAGAAACGCATGTTGACAAAGGGCAACAGGAAGGCCTTGTCTCCGGCCTGGCAGCTGCATCCTTAGACTCGTGGCCGCACCCGGCAGATGCGACACAGGGAGGCAGCACAGGAGGCCTTGTTACAACGGCACAGAACCACAGACAAACTAGGCACCTGTATACCTTTGGTGAACAAGGCAAAGGGTTTGTGATCATTGGCATCAGGTTCCAAGGGTGGGAGCTTGCTGTTGGAAACATGTACCTAGAGTCTGGCAAAGGACCAGGTGGAGGGGTAAATCCCCTAATTTTGGCTGAACTGGCAGTCTTCGTACAGGAACTCCGCATTCCTTGGATCATAACAGGGGACTGGAATGTCTCACCTGAAGAACTCGTTTCGGCAGGTGTCCTGACGATGCTCAAAGGAAAACTGGTGAAGCCAGAGGAAGAGACAACAACTCAAGGGTCTGAAATAGACTATGCAATTGCTTGAGTGTCCCCAAGAGGCCTGTGGATTTGAGCTACATAGCTAACAGTAAATATATTATAAAAATATAACTATTATTAAAATAATAGAAACAGAATTTATCAATATTTATTTAAATATATTGATTAATAAAAATAAAAATAAACAATTTCTATACAAAATCTTTATTATTTAAATAGATTTAAACAAATGTTCTGAAATTATTTATATATCTTTCAATTCAAATTTCTGAATCAAGACCCTCCCCCAGCCCGGCAGTTGGCACAACGTCTCATTTTTTCGCAGCGCCCCAGTGAGGTAGCACTCCGCTCTACAGTCGCTCCTTGCTGACACGGTCAGCGACCTTTGGCCTCATGCCTCTGCTTCGCCCGCTTGCGAATACGCTCTTCCAGCGACGTGGGACCTCCCTGGAGGTGCATCGGCACGGTCAAAGACCTGCGCAAGCGCTGACAGAGCCTGAAGCACGTCCTGCGATCAGGGGACCCTGGAAAAGATCCCAAAATCAACAGTGCATTCTGTGATAAAAATAGTGCCAAGCATCCTCCTGGCTGACTGCTCTCCGCAGTGTGTGCGCGGTCGTGGCTTCAGTAGCGGCAGGTGCCCATGAAAAGGATACAAATATGCTCTGCAAAGATCGCCAGCACCACTGGGAGGGCCATCGCACTGCCGGCGAGTTCTTGCAACAAAACTTTCGTTGCTGTCCGGGCCTGAGGCCGCTTCACTGCTTCATACGTTGCTAGCAGTGGCAAAATTGGATAGCCTTGACATATCATGGCTTCGCATCCCAGCCATACACGGGATTGTTTCTCGTACCACAGCTGCATTTTCGGCAAAATAGTCGGCAACACATGCACCCCGGGGACTGAATCCAGTGTCGGGCTATTCACTCTGCCTACTGCTTGGGAGATATCACGAAATAGCACCGACGGCGATTGGATTGTGGCCAGCCGTAAGGCATCTTGCTCTCGCTCTGTAAGTGTCTGGTACCACTCATTCTCCTTGAGTTCTCGGGGCACGGCTTCGCCCCAACGAAACTTCAGACTTCTTGCGAAAGACATGTGCGAATCCATCCAAGTCTGAGCCGTGGGTCCCGACTTTGCCTGGAGCTCCCTTCGCTTGTCCTGCTTTTTCTGGCGGATCTCCAGGTCAGAGACCGCAAAAGCATGGTCACTTGGAAGAAAAGTCTCCGGGGCACAGCAAGAGGTACGTACGCACGATGACATGACAGCCCGTACCGTTGCAAACATGGATGAAATGGACCTCTCGCCAAACTCCATGAGTGCCGAGCCCGCTGCTTTCCTGGGCGGAATACCGGAATAGCGTCAAGGCCAAGTTATAAGCAAGCCGAAATAAAATGAATCAGTACTCTACTACTACTTATTACGACCAAGTCGTCACCACCACTACCTACCACTACTAGCTCTACCACTACCTCTCAAACGAGAGCAACCCGCTACCATTGCAACTACTGGGACTATGATGTAATACCGCTACGACTACGGTAGTGGCACTGCCGCTGCCACGGGCACAACTGCTGCTACAACGACTACCTCTTCTCCAGTTAAAGCCAAGCATCAGGAAAAGCAGGTACACACGCCGCCTTCTAGCCGGCAGCCCGAACATTGCAGCATCGCTCATGATGACTTGGTTCTCGTATCCACGGTTCGACATTTCTGCGAGCAGAATATCGAGATTGGAAGTAGCATCGCCCCTGTCGTCCATGGTATCTACATTCTCGAACACGACGATGCTCGGAGAGTGATTCTGCACATATGCCAGCATGCCACGGAAGGTTTGGGCTGACCCTCCCTTCCTAGGCTTAACAGGCAACTAACGAATACGACTTAAGACTTTAGTAGACGCAGAAATAACACTCAGTTCCAGCTGGACGTACTCGTCGCTTTTGGTAGCTAAGTTGCGAGCTTTCGCGCAGGAGTACCGCTTCTTTTTGCTTGTGTTTATTTGGATTTAGAAGACGTAAACACTCGAGGATCGGTAATCCGGGCCTCAGCCGCCTTGCGCTTTTTTGAAGCCTGGGTTTGCTGAGCTTTTCTGGCTGCTGAGGGAGAAGCACTGGATGCCGAGCTGCTGCTTCTGCTGCTGCTGCTGCTGTCGCTATCACTAGCCATGGCTCACGACACACTCTACTGGTTGGCGAACCTCCGAGGAAAAAGGAATCTATAGTCATCATGATTCATGATCTATGCCTTCAATTCTCAATTCATTGACTACGGCATGGGACTGCCTCCTCGGGCGACACTAAAGACTTTCACTTTCAGGGCTCGGCTTCGAGCCTGGTCGTCGCTTCCAACTAGCAGGAATGCTCAGAACTTCTCAGTGAGTTTTGCAGCCTACAATGCGGATACACGATTGCTTTTCCCCCTGGCAGGTGCACACAGCTCGAGAGATGTCGTTGGGGTTGTTGCCGCTTGGCCCACGGCCCGTGCTGGAAATACCTTAGCTAGGCTCTGTGCCCAAGTGCTGCGAGTAATTTCTCAGAAAAGTACAACAGAGTTCTATCCGAATCTGTGAATTCCAAAATTCTATTAATTATAACTTATGATATTTTCAGAAATATTTGAAACAATTCTATAATATTTCCAAAATTTTTAAACTATTTTGACTTTTTTTAAAGAAAACGGAATGTGAACACTAAACACAGATTAGTGTTCACAAAACCACAATTAGTGTTCACAAAACCACAATTAGTGTTCACAAAAACACAATTAGTGTTCACAAAACCACAATTAGTGTTCACAAAACCACAATTAGTGTTCACATTTTATAAATCAAACATTTCCAAAATTGTTTTATTTATTTGAAAATATTTCTAAAATTGTTTGAAATATTTAAAAATATTCTTTAATGATATTGAAAATATAGCGTAAATATTTTCCAGAAGATCCGAAAATTTGTGCTTTTGTGGACTTTGTCGTGCAAGATTTAGGATTTAGGGAGGTCCAAATTCTTGGACGGAACAGAAGCCCCCTGCCCCCCCTCCCCCTTCACAACCAGCTGGCACTAGAGTCATTCGGAGGCATTACAAGTACAGCCCACTTCTTGAAACACTCCAACCAGGTACTCAGCTGCGGCAAAACAACTAAGTACTTCTAAGACTTAAACTGTCAAAGACATTTGAACACTTCTGAGCAACCCCAATTCAAGAACACGTCCTGCTGCATGAACGTAATGTCATATTCCGAAGGAGGACTGCCTACTACGACTAATGTCCAGCCTGAGACAGAGAATGCTGTTATTGCAGACACGCAGCTACGAAGACACCCGTCTGCCTATCACTCCAGGAAGAAGATTCGCTGGGAGACCATGCAGTACCACGAGAGAAATCCAGCCCAGGACGGAGTCCGACTACCCATTAACTGAGGTAGGCTGCGACCTCGATATCCATTTCCTCCTCGTTCTTGCCCTCTGCGAAAACAACCAAATCCGGACCCCCCATCTTCACGTGATGGGTTCGCGGATTGGTTTGGGGAAACTCATCATCGTGCAAGCCGGCACACAGCCAACGTTTCAGTCTCAGAATGCAAAGAGCATCATCCATGGTCCTATAGGATACTGCTTTTTTGCACTGGGTGCTGCTAGCCCCCTCACCTCTATCCCAATGCAGGTTGCAAATTGCACCCCAGCCAGTTTGTCTACCATGATGAGGTACAATAGGTGACAACATAAAGCCACCCCAAGGTATACCTCTTCGCTGGTTTCGGCGAACAGCCCGCTGGCCCGGGTCCTCAGCGACGGGAGCAGGCGGAGGGGGAACGGCAGCGGCAGCATCGACATCGCCTCCCGCACTTCTTCCAGCTGAGACAGCGGATGAAGATACAGGGCCTGCTGAACTCGAGGGCCTTTCCATTTCTGGGCCTGGATTCTCCGCTTGTTCAAGACCCCAAACATCATCCTCGTCATCTCCGCTGAAATTCCCCTCCCACTCTGCATTTTCAGACTCAGCTGCATCATCATCATCATCATCATCATTATCCTCTTCTTCCAGTTCGTCATCTGCGTCATCACCTGCAACAAAACGAGGACGGGCGGCTCTGCCTCTGCCACGACGGGTCTACCTCCGCCCCGGCCACGCATGTTCTGAGACCGCGGCCGTGGCCTCCTCTGTGCTCTCTGCAGCAATCGCACAGCCCTGAGTGCACGCTCTTGTTCCTTGAGCTGTGCTGCTTCAGACAGCAGATCTTGCAAATCATGAGGTAGCTTGTCACAAACCAGAAAAGAAGACAGGTCGTGTTGCAAATCCCCCAAAGTCAAACGAGAAATATCCCATGTCCGACTTCTGGTTGCCAAAGATTTGCAAACGGATAGGTCATTGTTCCAAATGATGCTACCAGTGAGTCTCTCTTTCTTGAACTTGAGACTGAACGGAGGGCTCGAATCCACTGTGAGATCTTTGTCCGAGTCGAGTTCCAGAAATATTGCATCGACATTTTGCATGTACGCGCGAAATGCAAGCATAAAGATAGCACTATCTTTCTGGTCCTTGCATTCAAAAAGAAGAGTCAGGGGCAAGGCACTGATGTTTTTTCTTTGCTGGGTCGAACCTCTTGATCAGCACGGACAAGCACGTGTGCAAGCGGCCGAACACAATGGTCTCCTCTTCAGAGCAATCCGCAACACAACTTGCATGCGGACAAGCTTGGAACAAAGTTCGATCATCACGAACGGCGATATCCTCCCCGACCGACATCGGTACGGCGTGCGCCTGCAATATTTCATAGGCAGTTTCAAGTATTAAGTAATAAGTAGTAATAAGAATCGATCTCCCTGACCTGATCCAAAGACCTCATCTCGTAGCTATTGGACCATTGTACATTATGAATTGTATAAAATCAGCCTTAGCACAGGTCCGAGACCGATGTTGTTGAGGCTGCGTTTTGCCGTTTCTCAGTCGTTCCAACCTGGTCTCGTTGTTTTGTCTGCCCCTCTGCATGCACATCTTCAATTATGCCAAGGATTTGGTCCATGTCCAACGGTGTAGCATCCATAGAATCACCCATGGCTAAATCTTAAGTAAGACTCCAACTCTTTGTCTATAAACCAATTAATCACTCCAAGGTTAACTTCATACTGCAAGTGCAAGACTCATGACTCACTCCGTATTCTTTGTCTCAAGTCTAGATCCTGAAGTAATTACGAGCCTCAAAGCGGCGACTGCAATCATGTACAACTTCAACTCACCCAGAAATATCGGAAGGAGCTGGAATAAGAATTTCATATATTAAAAAAAAGAATTTAATCGAAATATTAAATATATATTATAAATAAAAAAGAATTTCATGAATTTTGCTATATCAATAAAAAGAACTTCAACTATTTCATCTATTTCTTTTTTTGCTTTTTGGTCATAATAAGCAAAAATGAGCCACAGGCCTTCTTGGGGACATTCAAGCAATTGCCTCAGCAGCGATTGCCAGCTGTGTCCAAGCTGAGGTTAATTGGGAAGTCCCTTTCAAGCCCCACGCTGCAATTAAATACACTATCCACAAAGGAGGTGTCAGTCTACCCGTTCCGCAAGCGCCCAGGTTCACACCTGAACCTGGTGACAACCAGGAGAACCCAGAGCTTCAGGAGGTCCAGCAGATCACCGCCCTGTTTGAGGACCCCAGTAGCCATCCGGAGCAGGTGCAATGGGGGACACTCGTTCACAAGATTGAAGCTCAACTGGGCATGGACCAACATGGAAGAGGCTGGTGTTTTCCAGTCAAAAGGGAACCTTTAGTGCACGCGACGTCCCCCCACAAGCCGTGGAAGGGTGGCAAAGTAGCATTTTGGGAGCGCATGCTGCTTTGGGTGTGTCAAAAACAAGAGAGACCTTTAAAACCGACACAGTTTCGGCTTTTCAAGCGCCAGCTCAGCCAACTTCACCAGTTTTGGGATCCTGAAAACCCGACCAAACCTGGTGATATCCAGGCCAAGCTGGAAGCTTATATGATTGGCCACGCTGCAGACGTGCAAGTTGTCCAAACAGTGCTTCAGAAAGCCAAAGACGAAGCTAAGGAGTGGCAACAGCAAAGGAAAAAGCAATACCAAGAATGGTTGGAAGGAGCGTGTGAAGGAGGCATGAGAGGATTGTACAAGGCCTTAAGGTCGCCAGAAAACGTCCAAGTACGGCCCTACAGAAAGCAGAGTGGGGAACTCCGGCCTCACCTGCGCAGGCAGGACTGGAAGGCAACCTGGCAGCCACTGCCAGGAAACCAACCTCAGCAAGACCCCCTCTTTGACCAGCTAAAGGCTGGTGCGCTCCAACAGCTGGCACAAATAGGACCTCTAGAACAAAAGGAGGTAGCAAAAGTGCTTAGCAGGATGGCCAAAAAGGCTGTCGGGCCGGATGGGATCTCGGCTCAAATGCTCAGGACACTAAGCCCTGACCAGGTAGCCCTGGTGACACAAGCCTTCAGGGACTGGGAATCTGGTGGCAGTATGCCAACCACAGTCACCATGACACTCGTCACCCTGTTGGCCAAGAAAGAAACCGAAGAACGGCCGATCGGGCTTACTTCATATGCCTACCGAGCCTGGTGCAGAACCAGGTATCATCTATATGATGAATGGGCCAAAGGGTACAAAGCGACAGCGCCTTGGGACCGTGCAGTCAAAGGTCTCTCATCCCTTGAGGTGGCCGTGACCAGAGTCCTCAAAGGAGAGATGTACCGACAGAACGGAAAAACGGGCATCACGCTACTGCTTGACCTACGTGGCTTCTATGAGAACGTGTCACACACGGCACTGATCAAAGCTGCCTTCAAACACAAGTACCCGCC